GCGTGTCGTCAGTATGCCCTGGGTAATTCAAGGGTGGCCCCCGAAATCCATCTTTTTTTTTAAATTGAATGAAATCTATCTCCTTTAAAATTGAATGAAATCGGATCTTCCTTAAAATTAGGCATCGCCGAGTTAGCCGAGCTTGACCGCAGACCTTTGGACCGTGCTCAGGTGAAGCGGATCCACGAGTACAAGCGCCAGCTGCTCAACTGTCTGCACGTCATCACCATGTACAACCGGATCAAGAAGGACCCGGGCGCTAAGTGGGTGCCACGCACGGTCATGGTCGGCGGCAAAGCGGCGCCCGGCTACCACATGGCCAAGCAGATCATCCGCCTGATCATCGCCGTCGGCAACATCGTCAACAACGACCCCGTGGTCGGCGACAGACTGAAGGTAACGACCGGCCGGCCGGCACGGCCCGGCGCGCTGTGTGGGGAGAGAGAGAGAGAGAGAGAGAGAGAGAGAGAGAGAGAGAGAGAGAGAGAGAGAGAGAGAGAGAGAGAGAGAGAGAGAGAGAGAGAGAGGGAGAGCGGGAGAGCGGGAGAGCGGGAGAGAGAGAGAGAGAGAGAGAGAGAGAGAGAGAGAGAGAGAGAGAGAGAGACTTGCGTAGATGTGCGCCGTTGACTGTTTTCATACGTTTAGTCTCGAGCGGGTTGTCAACACAGTAGGGCTCGTCTCAAATTAGCTATTTCAGCTGTGCTAAGGCCGGTAAACTCGGGATCGATTGCTTTTAGGCGCGCAGAAGAGGCGCCTAAATGACGCCTTTAGGCGTCTAATGCATGGCTTTGACGCAGATCCCACATAGAATGTGGCACTTGTCCGTAAGAGCAGGGCACATCACGCTTCAGCGAGCATCAGAAGGCTGGCGCTGAGCGGTCGGCGGGGGCACGCGTCCGTCTGATGTACGAGCGCTCTGCGGACAGGTCATCTATCTGGAGAACTACCGGGTGACGCTGGCGGAGCGCATCATCCCGGCGGCCGACCTGAGCGAGCAGATCTCCACGGCCGGCACCGAGGCGTCCGGCACCGGCAACATGAAGTTCATGCTGAACGGCGCGCTCACCGTCGGCACCCTGGACGGCGCCAACATCGAGATGCGCGAGGAGATGGGACCCGAGAACATCTTCATCTTCGGTGAGACTACCGTGAGGCTCTAAAGGGATAGCTCGCTAGAATGAAGCAGTTAGATTGCCAAGCCAGACGAAATATCGAAAAATGTACTTATCAACAAGGCGTGATTTTGTGTGACCTTTTGCCACGTCGTTGGAAGTTCTGCTGAGCCCTTCACTGCCACCATGCCATGGGTGATGTGTCATGTGTCATGTGTCATGTGTCATGGGTGGGTTGATCGTGAAGTGCCTGCTCTGCCTGGGCAGGCATGGACGTCGAAGAGGTGGAGGCTCTGAAGGCGCGCGGCTACAACGCCCACGAGTACTACAACAAGCTGCCCGAGCTGCGCAAGTGCATTGACATGATCAGTAGTGGCTTCTTCTCGCCGCACGACCTCAACCAGTTCAAGGACGTGGTGGACATGCTGATGAACCACGACCGTTTCCTGCTGTTCGCCGACTACGAGTCGTACATCCGCTGCCAGGACGAAGTCGGCAAGCTGTACATGGTCAGTTCAAGTCGGGGTTCTGTCGGACACCGCAGAGCTCGCAGATTTAGGTCTTGCTAAAAGTGAACGTTGCTCAGAGCTGCCACAGTTGAGACATCATTTCGTCCAGGCCTGGCTTGAAGCAAACACAGGCTTTGGGTGATGTGCTGTCAAATATTGATGTGGTGATTTGGCCAGCTCCTGATGTTTGGTATCGACATATGCCGCACATTTCGGTTTTGGTTGCCATTGGCTATTTCAGGCCTGTGTAATGCATTAGAGCGTTGACTGGTGATGGTGCAGTTGTCTCTCCCCGTGAAGTGACCTCTCTCCGGTGTGTGTGTGTGTGTGTGTGTGTGTGTGTGTGTGTGTGTGTGTGTGTGTGTGTGTGTGTGTGTGTGTGTGTGTGCGTGCGTGCGTGCGTGCGTGCGTGCGTGCGTGCGTGCGTGCGTGCGTGCGTGCGTGCGTGCGTGCGTGCGTGCGCGTGCGTGTGTGTGTGTGCGGCCCCTCGTGCAGGACTCCCGCCGGGACTGATGCTCGAGCCAGCTGAAGCCCGGCGGCTGCGGTTCGCTCTGGACAGGCGTGGCGTTGCGAGGGCCCATGATAACGCGTTTGAGGACGGGAAGGGGGTGTGACACCCAATACATGGGAAGGTAATCTTACAGCAGCCGTTTGGAGCTGCTTTTACTGACGACTGTGTGGACTTCCAGAACCAGGACGCGTGGGCGAAGAAGGCCATCATGAACATCGCTTCGTCCGGCAAGTTCTCCAGTGACCGTACAATCGCCGAGTACGCGCGCGAGATCTGGGGCGTGGAGCCCAGCTGGGAGAAGCTGCCGGCGCCTCACGAGCCCCGCGAATAGCCGAGCCATCTGGGGCCAGGTCGCAGAAGATCTAGTTCGTTTTCGACCGTCAGGTGGTGCGAGGGGGCTGTACGTGCTGCGCGCGTAGTGTGAGGAAGAGAAAATCTGATTTATGTATCCCGTCAGCGTTGAGCCCCGAGTAGCCGATTATCATGAGCAAATAGTTTGTTGCCTTCAATTTCTGCCTTTTGTGACATTTGTTTGATATGTGCCATGCATAGCACGTAGCGCGATAAAGCTCAGGTCAATCTTGTTGAGGCTTCCTTTTTGACACTGCCAACAAAATGCAGTTAAAGCTGCCTCTTGGACATAGAGCTTAACGTTTTGCAAATTTTGGAGTGGTATTAGTGCCTGCGATGTTTTAGGTGGTTCTCATAAATCCGTTTGCATATCAGCGTAGTATTTTATTTGTTTTATGGCAGGTCCGAGGGCTCAAATTTGTCGTTCGCAGGACATGGGAAGGTTATATTAATGGGATTCTGAATATATTGGTCTTTGAGTTGTGTATGGTACTGGCTTTGTGCTGTCCGCCGTGTTGAAAATGCTCCAGGTTTCAGCATCTCACTAGAACTAACGACTTATAATAAAAGGCTAAAAATGTCCCGACTGTTAATAACATGCCTGCTTGTTTGGCGCCGGGAGCTGGTGGGTAGCAACGGCCACAACACCACTGTCCAGCCAGGGGTTCCCAAAGAGGATCGGGCCGAGAGGCTTGCACAGCGGGTATTGAACCGCAAGCTGGGCCAGTGGCTTGCAAACGTCGACGCGTTTCCAAGGGCCTGACCGTGGGACAGCCTGAGAACCGGAGGTGGTACCGGCGTGGGCATGACCGAGGGGTGCGCGGGCGTCTATGACCGCGATGAGGTCTGCGACGATCCTCGTCAAGCGTAGGCGCTATTGGGTCGCTTTGGTGTAGGCTGTGGGTAGCACAAGGGCCAACCTTTGCAGCCAACGGACGAGTGATACCAGGATTGCACATGACGTATTCACAGTGGCTCATACTCGGCCGCTTAACTGACAAAGCTGTCGATATTTTCATGCTATGACAACCCCGGCTTGGGGTTCACTCCCTGCCACCCCTCCCCTTGCTCAAAATCAGCCAATCAGCATCGAAGGGGCGGTGGTTAACCCAGCATCTTAGCGCCGCATGCTTGACAAATGGGCTGGGCAGGTCAGATGTTTGGGCGCGGAGTCAAAGGGCAACGGATTAGCACCAACGAATTGCGCGCGGGGGTCGCTAGAGGGCAAAGATTCTGGTAGCATCAATTTACATTCACATCTCCTGCCCCCCCCCCCCTCCCCCTGAATGAATTTTGGAACGCTGTCAGCATGCGAGGGCGGTGGCCCAACCACCAACAATCTCGTGGCATTTCTAGATGTCTTTTGACGTCTGTGAACGGGGTATGTCAATTAGATCATGGCGGTGTTTGGAGCAGAACATGTCCCGCAACAGTGCGAGTGTCTGGAATCACAGCCTGTTGCATAAGTCATCTTCCACCTGCTGTTTAATCAAGTCAATTTATCAAGGAAAACAATATTTTCAATAAGTGGTTTAGCACGAGACAAGTGTTTGCGGGCTTATTTCGCGGGGCGACGAAGCCGACATATTGAAAGCACATGAAAAGGCCTGCTACATTCCTTGGGCGATTTGTGTTTGCATTATTTCAGGATGCATTGGCATTTTTCATAGCATTTCCTGGTTGACCCAACCTCCGCCTGTCGGCATGTCTCACAGGAACCGGATGTGATGTGCTGACTTCCAGGGACGTATTTGGATCATGGGAGATAAGCCTCATCTGAAAGTCAGCTTTCGTGTTGCATTATGGACCGAATCGTTAGCAGGCTTGACGGAAGCGGTCGGTTACCGCTCGCCACCTTGTGATTCGCATTGTCATATGAAGGCACTGCTGGGCAGACAGACAGGCCGAGACCGAGACCGAGGCCGAGACCGAGACCGAGACCGAGGCCGAGGCCGAGACCGAGACCGAGGCCGAGACCGAGACCGAGGCCGAGGCCGAGACCGAGACCGAGACCGAGACCGCGTCCGAGTCCGAGTCCGAGTTCGAGTCCGAGACCCAGGCCTAGACCGACACCGACACCCATATCGACACTAAGACAGACGCCCCCTGCGCAAATAGTACACAGATTCCAGTCACCATGTGGCACCAGATGAAAATAAAACGCTATACAAAATATCAAGCACTGATGATACAAATGGACCAAAGCATCCTCATGAAAACAAAAACACATTATGTTTAGGGCATCGTGTTAATCAGCACCATCACGTTTGCTAGAGAATTCATTCATCACCTCAGAGTTAGTGATCGCCGGCGGTCATCATTCCGTGTGATGTCACACCCTTCACTCTCTCGTGATTGGTAGAGCGGAATCTTCAATTATCGGCTAAATTCTGCAAAAACTATCAATAAGCACAGTTTTCGTGACACCTTGACGGGAGTAGGTGTCCATGTAACAATGATGCTTTACGTTGGTATCTATGTTTGCAAACTTCGTGAGCGTTGTTAAAAACACACCAATCTGGTAGACATTTTATTTACGAACCACGGCGCTTGGCGTGTCAGGGCATGCCAGACACAGAACAGTGCATACTGTTCCTGTCACGCCCAGGTCAGGACAGCCAAGCTTGAACTAGTCCCCGCAGGCCGCCCTACCACTCACAAAACGTACCAGTCATACTGCAAGATGCGGAAATTGGGGCCGGCGCACATGCTGCGCAGTCTCAATGGAAATCAAACCTACACATGACCCGCTCAGCGGGCCATGTGTACACGGATCGAACGGATCGACACGGATCGAAAGCACGTTTACCAAGCAGGCGACACAACTTAAACGCGCTTTAACAAAATGGCGGTTCTAAGTAACCCAAGGGTACCGAGCTTCCACGGCGCATCGCCACAATACGTCACAAATGCCCGTGCTTTTTTCAACATGCCCGTGCTTTGGCGAAATGGGCGCCCCACGTAAACCGAGATCACGGTTATTCTATATGCATGGGGCGAATGCCGTTAGTCGGTTAAGAGTGCAGCCTCCTTCGCGCATAGCATCCCGCACCTAATCTGCCATAGTTGCGCCCACGTGGGTACGAAAGAAAGTCTCATTGTTTTCCGTTAGCCGTTCGGCGCAGGCACCAGTACGTTGTTCAAACAGCCAACTTGGAGGGTACTTCATATCTCACCACGATAACATGTTCACTTACGTCAAATAGACATACATACTCGTACAATGCTCAATATTATTCCAACCGTGAAAAACGTGGACAGAAAATCGGCATTTGCGTGACCAGCTGTAAGCAGTCCAGTCCTAGAACTGAATGAGATCCTTGGAATTGGGTTCGAAATGCACCGACTCCACGATGACGTCGCCCCGGACTTCCACGGCGTCCAGCAGGCTCTTGGAGAGCCGGTGCGGAAACTTCAGAAGAAGTCGCCCATCGACGAACACGTCCCAGGATCCTGGCTGGCAGACAATCCTGCAGATATACAGAGATCGCGGTCAGCCGGAGAGGAGGCGATCGCTGTCCAACGTGGCTCCAGCCGTGGAAAAGGCGTCCTAAATGCTCACATCGCTGTCGTGAGATGTGCGTCATCTGGCCTTTCATTAGTTGTCCGGCCAAGTAATTCACACAGAGGTCAGCTGAAGATTTCCATGAGTCAGTGATATACAAGTAAGACTATACCAGCTACACGATGGGTTCTTATTTGAGACAGATGAATCACAAAGCCTCGAGCCAGAATATCACCGGATGACTCACCAGCGGCAGCAATAACGGAATCAGACGAAAAAACATCCATCTGGAAAGCCCGTTTGTTTACACCACGCCAGGAGTTCCGTTACGGAAACAGCGGACGTGCGCCCTGAACGACCTAGTGGTGACTGGCGAGGGCACCTGATGACGAAGTGTCGTCCTGCCCGGAACGGGAAGTCCTGGACGATCTGCTCCTTACCCCAGCCGGCCACTCGCGAATTGGCCACGATCACCTCAAAACAGTCCAGCACCTGGCGACACGGGGAACAGCTGAGCGCATGACCCGGTCAGGGCCGTCCTGAAATACAGGTTAGTTCGACGACTCGAATATGTAGATGCTTAGCGGTAATCACCACGGAAATCGTCAGTAACGAGGGTGTCTACGCTGCCAAGTCAGGCAACAACTCCCACACGGGTTTCATAAAACAACAGTCATGTCCAATCGCGTGGCCGTGCGGAAAAGCCAAATTTGGTTAACAATTTTGACCAATATCTGATAACCCCCGCCCTGACAAGGAGATGCAACCATATAGGTTTTTTGAGGATACCCCCGACATGTTGTGAAACCGATCCCAACTTTTCATTAGCCTGTGGAGCATCCATTGCGCGTGTTTTGATACAAAAAATGTGCTTCTTGCTTTTCTGGCTTCGGAGCAGCGGCGGTTTTGAACAACATGGTAAATTCCAGTTGACTTATGACTAGAAAGACTGATGCTACCGCGGCATCCTCACGAATAAACTCATACCAAATCAACGAACGCCAACGGGATGGGATGTAGGGTCTGCGCTATTGTGGCATGGTGTGGTGTGTATATGGGGGGGGGGGGGGGGGGGGTGGAGCAGACAGCAGACAGCAGACACTGTGACCAGAGCAGGTATGACGTGACACGGTCGGAGTTGTCTGGAGATGAGTCCAGAGCGTCAGGATCAACAGCGGGACCACTCCCAGGACCCTGTGAAGAGGCCGCGCGGCGGCAGGTCAGGCGCCCAGCACCGTCGCAACGCGGTCCTGGGGCCCGGATGGGGGGGGGGGGGGACAGACCGGATGAACTCCATCCTGGACCCCGTGACCGAGCCGCGCTGCACGGGTCGGGGTCCTGGGGCCTGGGTACGGATGGGGGAGGGGGAGACACATGGGATGTGTCCACAACACCGCAACGACTCGTTCGACTGGCACCTCACTTCGACGTTAGGCACGCTGTGTGTATCGGTCCCTAGCTCCACTGCCATTTCAAGCATGTGTATGCGTCTTTCGAACGCCTGACATCGCAAAGCTCCTGTTGACCTTCGACAACCAGCTCCGGCGGGGTCGGAGAGGGGAGAGAGGAGAGAGAAGAGATTATATGTACCCGGGAGAGATGAGCTGGAAACCAGTGATTTCACGTGCAGGTCGGCGCAGATCTGAGCAGGTAGCTTGGGTGGTTTCTGACCACATCCTGCATTTGCAATGCACCATGCATGCGAACTATTCGGGTCAGTCATGGCCTCGTACCACCCTCCTCAGCACCCAGCTGCGGAAATATCATTACGTTTACCAACGACTAAGTGATGTGTCCCTTCCGCTGACCGTGCTGCCAGCCGCCCATGGCGAATCGTCCCACAGTCTGCGCGTGCGCCTCCCAGCCTCTCCGGCCTCTCTAACCTGGAAGCGCGGGTTGAAGTGCAGCAGAATGTCCGGCTCCGGGAACAGCTGGCTGCCGTGCAGCAGGTTCACGAAAAACCTGAAGATCAGAAGCGACATAACGAAGCAGACCCAGCAACAATGACGTAAGTCGTTAAGTGCGTTTGCGAGAACGTTATGCATATAGCTAAGACAGCACTGATAGCCTTATTCCTCGTAGAGTTTATTCGTTATGTTTATATTCGTTTCGATAAAGGCACGTGGCCGGGATGTCACATCTATTTTCTTGTTTATTCTATGAGGAACGAGGCCATTGACACTGTTTCATCTGGTTGCAGTGAAAACATACTTCAGAGCCCCTTGTCACAAGTGCAGCAACGTGACGTCTCCCGACCGTTCAGCCTTTGAGCGGCTCTGGACACTCATCCCGCAACATTCGTTACCATGCACCAGCAGTCGCAGAGCGCAGGGAGCACTGCGCTCTGTAAGGCGTGCAGTATACAGCGGGTGTACTGACGTCGGTCTGCCGGTGGCGTAGCCAAGCACGAGGCTTCTGAAAAGCCTTATCTGGCTTCTCACACGCGTGACAGGCTGGCGGCAGCGTCCCGACGGAAACTCAGTGGTAGATACTGTCGGAATCACTGCCTTCTTCCATTTTTGTAATTCCGCCACATACCGGGCACCAGTTCTATGTGGGTCAGTTGTTCGCTTGGCAGCTTATCAACCGCAGGGTTATTCCCATCGTGTCTGTGCCACGCCGGGGACTCACGAGAAGGGCAGGAGGCGGACTCGTCCCGTCAGCTGAATAACGCCTCCCTCCTGCATCGGCTCGGGCAGACGGCACGGGAACAGCTGCCACACACAGCACAGCTGTCGGTGTGGCATAGGACTGCCACACACAGCACAGTCGATGGTGCGACACATAACTGCCGCAGCACAGTACAGTCGACAGCATGCCACATGGATGCCACACACACAGCATAGTCGACGGCGTGGCACACGGCTGCCACACACAGCACAGTCGACGGCGTGACACACGGCTGTCACAGCACAGTACGGTCGACAGCGTGGCACATGGCTGCCACACACAGCATAGTCGACGGCGTGGCACACGGCTGCCACACACAGCACACTCGATGGCGTGACACACGGCTGTCACAGCACAGTACAGTCGACAGCGTGGCACATGGCTGCCACACACAGCACAGTCGACGGCGTGGCACACGGCTGCCACACACAGCACAGTTGACGGCGTGGCACAGGGCTGTCACAGCACAGCACAGTCGACAGCGTGGCACATGGCTGCCACACACAGCACAGTCGACGGCGTGGCACACAGCTGCCACACACAGCACAGTTGACGGCGTGGCACACGGCAGCCACACACAGCAGTTGACGGCGTGGCACAGGGCTGTCACAGCACAGCACAGTCGACGGCGTGGCACACGGCTGCCACACACAGCACAGTTGACGGCGTGGCACACAGCTGCCACACACAGCACAATTGACGGCGTGGCACACGGCTGCCACACACAGCACAGTTGACGGCGTGGCACACGGCTGCCACACACAGCACAGTTGACGGCGTGGCACAGGGCTCACCGCAACGGCGCACTCGCGGAGTCTGGCGGCCAGGCGCACACGTCAACTGGACTCGTCCAGCGCGAGATGTCACAGCAGCAGAGCTCACTCGTGACATTTTTCCTCGCGTGACAAAGTGCATCGCATTTACGATATTACGAGCACAGACTAGGCATGAATTTCTACTTCCGATTGAGAAACCTGGTGCCGTGTGTGACTCAAATTTCGGATTATTTATTTTTACTGGCGGTCAATAACTTTTCGACGAGGCCGATGTGATAACCGCGGCAGTCAAAAGCTTTTCTTTCGATGAAGCCGCTGCGGTAACCGGGTTGTGTCGCTGGTGAAGCCCCCAACCGCAATCCACTGTCTTTGTGCCCAAATTTGCTAAGCGTTCGCTCGACTCGTAAGACGTGAGTCATGGCGGAGGGATGCAGTGAGTGCCCAGGCCTCCTCACGTTAACTCCCACACTCCAACTGGGATGGACTCACAAAGCTTTGGAATCCGCCCAGCTTACCCTCACCAGTGACGAGCTCGGTTTGTAGCGACCACGTGAGTTCCATACCGCGGCGAGGGCTGTGCCCGATCTCACTCTGGCCACGATACTCCGAGACCATCTCACCGGTCAGAACATCCAGGGCCCCGTCGGTCGGTCAGGATGCCCAAGCCCCCACGTCCCCTGCCACCCCCTCCTCCGCCGTCAGGAGACCCCAACAGCAGTGGTCTCCGGCCGGCTTCTACTGACCGGCTTGTCGGCGTGGTAGCCGCCGCCAGGCCGGTCGGCCAGCGCCAGCGCCGGCGCCGGCAGCGGCGGGTACTGCTTCACGCCGTCCGAGTACTCGATCCCGGTCAGCTGGACCGTGCCATCCACGTGCAGCGTGCGCACGGCCGAGAGCGCCGAGCGGGTCGCGAACGACGCCAGGTGACGGCCATTGACCGACATCTGGCGGCGGCAGTTAGGCGGTCAGGTGGTCCGCCGGCGGGGGCGGCTGGTCAGCCGGGCAGACGGCGGGGACAGTGGTCAGCCGGGCAGACGGCGGGGACAGTGGTCAGCCGGGCAGACGGCGGGGACAGTGGTCAGCCGGGCAGAAGGCGGGGGCAGTGGTCAGCCGGGCAGACGGCGGGGGCAGTGGTCAGCCTGGCAGACGGCGGGGACGGTGGTCAGCCGGGCAGACGGCGGGGGCGGTGGTCAGCCGGGCAGACGGCGGGGGCGGTGGTCAGCCGGGCAGACGGCGGGGGCGGTGGTCAGCCGGGCAGACGGCTGGGACGGTGGTCAGCCGGGCAGACGGCAGACACAGTGGTCAGCCGGGCAGACGGCGGCGGCAATGGTTAGCCGGGCAGACGGCGGTGGCAATGGTCAGCCGGGCAGACGGCGGTGGCAATGGTCAGCCGGGCAGACGGCGGTGGCAATGGTCAGCCGGGCAGACGGCGGCGGCAATGGTCAGCCGGGCAGACGGCGGGGACGGTGGTCAGCCGGGCAGACGGCGGGGGCGGTGGTCAGCCCCGCAGACGGCGGCGGCAGTGGTCAGCCGGGCAGACGGCGGTGGCAGTGGTCAGCCGGGCAGACGGTAGGGGCAGTGGTCAGCCGGGCGGACGGCGGTGGCAGTGGTCAGCCGGGCAGACGGTGGCGGCAGTGGTCAGCCGGGCAGACGGTGGGGGCAGTGGTCAGCCGGGCGGACGACGGCCGGCGGTCCGCAGGAACCAAGACACATGGTTCAAACACGTCCGACTGAGCTTCATTGCTCACATTATTCGCCATTGAACACATTTCCGAACCAATAATTTTCGCGGTTCCATAAATGTGTTTTATTCGGCACGAAAACGTGTTGCCAATACGATCAGCAAGTGATGATCAGGATCAGCAAGTGAAGACAGGTTGACCTAGAATATTTGTGTTCGGTGGCTTCACTGACCCCAAAGACAAGGGGTGGTCAAAAGGGTTGAGTCAGGTCATTAGAGGTGTACGTCTTATCTGTACTTGCAGAAAAAGGCTTCCTAACGCTGCGTTGGAAATACGACTCCCTTTACCTGTGCCCCTTAGTTTTACGCTTTTCCTGACAATTTTCTGAGAAATCGATTCCCGAAAAACGCCATGACGGAATCAAATCGACGACGGGTGCTAGTCTGGGGTGTAAACAAAATAAGTCGGAAAAAATCAAAACGGCCGCAATTTAAAACAAGAATTCGTGCATGCAGAAGGAACTGGGAAGGGCTTCTGACCAGATTGCTCGAGTTTTTATCAGCTCCGAAGGGAATCCATAGGGAAACATTTCCTTTCCTTCGCTATTTTCAATTCGTAATTCGAATCCATTTTCACGAAGATCATGGTACGCTGTATGTCGGCCTAACTTTGTGATTGCGGATGAGAACGCCAACAATACAAACATCTCGAATGCAGCCACAATCTTGCCTTTCTCTGTGGCATGCATGAACCTGAGCGATAGCAGGACGTAGCCAGCGCGAGAGGAAACTGGAAACGCCGCATACCAGATAGCAGCTCTCCGTGCAGAAGATCACCAGCTCGAAGTCCTGGCCGGGCGCGAACGGCAGGGGCGGCGTGGCGCACAGCTCCTCCCGCCCCCAGGCGCCGCTCTGGAGGCAGCAAACACAGCCATGCCGACTACCAACACTCGAAGGTGCCGGCGCCGCCGCCACTCTTTGGTCAAACAGCGGCCGTCAATATTTGTCCGGTTCTCATCAATGACATGTTAATTCGATGGTGCGTCGCATTCGAATACGCCCGGTCTCACGGACATTCCAAGTGGGCACACACCGCACACAAAACATGGCTCTCGCCAGGCGTCAAGGCCGCTGACACAAAAGCTCCGGCAGGACTGACACAATGACGTGGGATGATGGATGGCGGGCCTGCTGCTATGTCGCCCCCCTGTAGCCAAGCTGTTGCTATGTCGCCTCCCTGCCTGTAGCCAAGCTGCGACCAAACGCGAAATGGCATCCAATCAAATGTCGAAACGTCCAAATGTCATTTCACTGTGACATCTACGCGCAACAGCTGCGCGGTCAGAATAAAGATTCCCCAATACGCGCATCGAAAAAAACCAAGCCTATCACGCAAAAATAAAACTTGGAGCAGTTACCTTTCTTAACAATCCATGGAATTGCAAAAAACAAAAACAGCTGTGATATGCATATGCATGACGGCGATGTGCTACAGGTAACCCATCAAAGAATATACAACATGTGTAGTGCAGAGCGATGCCGTCTTTCAAGAACAGAGCAAGGCACACTCATTTTGCGAGCATTTACGAATGATATGGATGGATTATAATGCATGTATATACATCGAGGTCGAGGTCGAGGTCGAGGTCTATTTTTCATCTATTTATACATGTACATATATATATATATATATATATATATATATATATATATATATATATATGTGTGTGTGTGTGTGTGTGTGTGTGTGTATAAATAGATGAAAAATAGACCTCGACTTTTTCCAGGACGTTTTATGTAAAGAAAGCGAACGAGCTCCTGTGCATCTACCCCAGTTCCCGGGCTTACATTTGGTGACAGTTCTGTAAAACATGCGCTGACGTGCCCCTGAGATTACCAAAGAATCACTTGAAAAACGCCAGCGTTCGGCGTTGGAGCTTTCAAAAGTTACATTTCCACCATTGCTGTGCGTAAGTGGGAACATTTAAGCACACTACCAAGTGCCAGTTACAGGCCACGAGCAATGAGGTCATCATTTTTTGCCGAGGCCACGAAAGCTGAATCTCAGGCCGTGGCGCCCATTTAAGTACGTTTATCGTAGAAAACACGCTTTAAACGATTTTCCGACCTTGATTCGTTGCATCGCCAGTACTAAATGATGATGCGGTTCTATAAAAATACAATGGCTCAAGTGATCCCACGTCAGGCTGGGCAAAGTGAGCCAAACGAGAAAATCTTCACTGAACAGTTTTTACATTGAATGACCTGGCTTGACAACAGAAAGCTCCTTTCATGCATCAAATGGCCACGGTTCGGGATCGCAATGTCCTGTTCTGGGATAACGAAGACCCTTCGTTTGGTCTGGGGGCCCTTTCGTGTATCACAAGCATCCTGTTTGCTCTTTTATGCATTGGGAGGCCCTCTTCTGGACCAGAAGGCCCTGCGTTCGATTAGTGAGTCTCCTTACTGAATCATGAGAAGGCCCGTTGCTGGATAATGAGAAGACTGTCGACATCTATTTACTTGTATATTATACATGCAACAGTTTGATAAGGGGCACACGCCTTCGGTGCCACTCCCTCCCCCCCCCCCGAATACGATACTGCGCAGAAGCCTTCCTGAGAGGAAGCTTCACTTTGCCCAGCAGGCTCCCTGCCCCCCCCCCCCCCCCCAACTTAAAACCCGTGGCGCAGCCCCTAGACTGACGGACATCATCCCACGTCTTTTGGTTCATTGTTGTCTTGGGCTAGCGGGCTGGGATTTATGCAAGGCTTAACTGTATGGCCTAAGTTGGGACATAGCAACTCCGGCCCACTGGTAGGCTGTTTTTGTGTGTGATTCAAGGTGCTAGTAACGCTTTATATACATAGCATGCAGGTTATGCAACAACGGATCCGCGAATTTGGCTGGCCAGCCTGGATTTGCCGACCAAAATGACTCACGATGATGTTCAGTTACATTCATGTGATGCCGTTTTTGAGACAGCAGGGGGCTGAGGATCCTCGCACGGCAAATGTGAGAAAAGCGACGGTCAGGTGGAGACAATCAAGTTTTTTTGTGCATCTGGAACCATAGCTTCCACATAATTTCATTCTTGTCGCGCAGTTCTCATGAATTTCGTCATTCGTCTACATAGTCATGAGCATTCGTCACCATTTCCGCGGCTATTCAATTTACATTTTTCATACTTACTGTTTGTGCGCGCTTCTTAAATTTCGTGTTCTTGACCCTTTTGACAAGAAGTACACGTCTGTTCAAAAACAGCACCCTGCCATCTAGGTGTTTCCAACCTCTCCGCCATGTCGTTTTTGAACGCCCTCTTTGAATCCGCGGATCTACAGACATAGTATACGCGGATAGAAAGTCACTAAAATAACTGAAAACAGCACCTTTATATTTTTCCTGACATCATAGCCTGTATATCTGACACTGCGTGGTCCGCCAATGTTCAGCATCGATTGCCTCCCCGGTCGGACATGTTCTCCATCAGCGGTCTCATATATGTATACGGTCTATATATGTATATCTGCATATGTACGCCGTACCAGTCTTGAGTTCCTGACGACGTGGCCCAAGTCGTGGCGAGGGTTGATGTGCAGAGCGATGTCCCCGTCCAGTCCACCGTTCATCAGGTTCACCGACCACCTGGGCGCCGAGCAGCGTCACACACAGCACCGACTGTTGTTGACAGAGCAGCCGCAGGCACAGTCAGAGGCTGCGCCGCTGGCGCCGAATTCCCAGCAACGGGATCACACCATCGGATCACTGCATGAGGGCTGCCCAAGTCGTGAGGACGAGTACGACCCTGCTCCAACAGTCGCGTGAGCTTCTCACGCTTAGTGGGTTAGCGTCCCCCACACATGAATACATTTGCTTTAGAGAACTGGCGGAATTATGACCGGCTGTGAATTTCGGGTACCGACTAACAGCAAGGACCACCATCCACACACGATGGACGGCAGGATTAAAACGCAGGAGAGCCCGCCATGAAGACCACCAGGAGCATTGCTTTTCTGAGTCCTCGTTTTGTTCCCCGCCAATATTTTACCAAACGACTTTCGAGCAAAGAGCAAAACACATGGCAAGGAACGTTACATGAATTGTCCAGCAATAGCCTCAGTGTAACGTTTCTATGAAAAATGCGACAAGCATCATAGTTGCGGCTGCGGTCACAAAGTCGAGGCAAGCTTTAAGCAAAAACCGGTCCGGGCGGTGCGGCCGACCGGTTTTGTGCGCTCTCGCTCAGCGAGAGTGGCTGCTGGCAGTGTGCTCCCGAGTCGGCCTGCGCAGCAGTGCGGCGTCGGCCCGTATCCGGAGGGGAGAGTCCCGGGGCCCCCGCAAGAGGGAGAGTTCCCGGACAGAGCGACACAGCCAGTTGGCCGGTCGTGGCCTCTGGTCAGGTCCCGGACGGACCGACACAGCGAGGTGGCCAGCCGTGACCTCTGGTCAGGTCCCGGACCGAGCAACACAGAGGTGGCCAGCCGTGACCTCTGGTCAGGTCCCGGACCGAGCGACACAGAGGTGGCCAGCCGTGACCTCTGGTCAGGTCCCCGGACCGAGCGACACAGAGGTGGCCAGCCGTGACCTCTGGTCAGGTCCCCGGACCGAGCGACGCAGCCAGGTGACCCGCCGTGACCTCTGAACTGGTCCCGGACCGAGAGGCACAGCCAGGTGGCCAGCCGTGTCCTCCGACCAGGTCCCATCGGGGAAGGTTGTCCCCCAGTAGGCGCGTTACAGCGGCGTCGGTTGTAACGTTTGATGCGACATCACATGTCGCGACCAACAGGTGGTCTGATCAGCCAGAGATATTGCACCAGGTAGTCTGATCAGCCAGAGATATTGCACCAGGTAATGCACCGGATTGGCATCAGGTGCAGTAACGGTTCAGCCAGGAGAAGGCTGCAGGCCCCGCGAGCACATCAGGCGCAGATGAGATGGCGGGGCGCGAGACCCGCCGAGCCGGTACGAGCTGCTGCCGTCTCCCAGCGGCCCCAGCGAGCACGCCATTGAGTACGATACGCATACCCGTCTACTTTTCTACAGGACAGGACGACCTTCGGATCTCCGCAGAACGACGGATTAGTGCACCACTACACATTCTTGACCAAATCGCCCATTCTCGAATGTCCCGTCTTGCACGCACACCAGCCGTGTTAGGGGCTCTTCGGCGCACGTCTTCTTCGATGCGCTGGTTCCATGATCAAGCGATTCCACTGCAACCCAGTGAGGCATACGGATCCCGGCGCGGTGTTGTGGAAGGCGCAACTTCAATCAAAGGCGCAACGAGACTTCAATCAATATTACGAGCGGCCCGATTTTGAGCGCTGACCTGAATGAGCGGTAATCTTTTTGAGTTATCTTTAAAATATGTTCTGTATGGTTCCAGGCACCAACGAAAATCATCATTAGGCAGGGACTATCTCGACCATCATGATGCTGGGCGCCGCGGAGCAATGAACGCACCAAATAATCGAAAATAAAACCATCACAGCTTGGTTGTTCCGCGAACCTACTATTTGCAGAGGAGCTCCTGTACCGGCCATCTTAGCATAGAAAATTACAGGACTTTGCAGTACAGCAAGTATCTGGCACTAAATCAGAAAATCTAGCAGCGTCTAGGCCATGTCACGATACTGTCCGGCGCGCGTAATCCTTTCAGCAATGCCAGCTCATTGATCTTGATTAATCTGCTGATGTGATACATTGAGGGTCTTCGCAAAACTGTGCTTAGAGAAGCTTACGTCCCAAAGTCACCCCTGCAGAACATTCCGTTTAAGAGTAGTATGTCTTCTTAAGTTAGTGTACGGCGGCTGTAAAAAGGTAGTCACGTGCTGAGCGGAAATCGAGGCATACGACCATGGATGAAACCAAGCGCTGGCTCCTGTTCGTCCGATTTTTTAAAGTCCGTTTTTGTTCGCTCCAATTTTGCTTCCGAAATGTACGTTTTTATGTTTTCCCGTTCAAAACGTGATTTTCAGGCTAGATTACTTCCTCAGGTTTCAGTTTGACCCATGCAACTCTGATTGGCCCCGCTAATCCCAGGGACGTGGTTACACCCATGTGTATAATTGCTATTTTATAGCAACAATGGCAAGAACAGTAACATGCTTTAGCATGCGATGAATTTATGACCGGAAGCTGTCGCGCGACATTCACGAGGCTCAGCAGCAGACGTCCGACCACGAAAACGATATGATGACTCGATTCCCAGAATGTGGAAGTGGACACCGTGCACAATCGCTGGAATACAAGCTTGATAATGCTTGTCATGTCATGGATAAAGGCTTGTGATGTGAAGAGCCATGCCCGAGGCACCGGCATCATTGCATCAATGCGGCTGTCCGACCTTCAGTGATTCAGTCTCGCAGCGAGAGTTATCCAGCGCCAATGGGAGGTTTCGGAAAGATCCGTCTTTTCGAATTTGGGCTATTGGAACCAGAGACACACTAATCAAACCAGAGTCACCATTTGAAGGAGGATGAATTACATTTTATTCATGATCGATTGCGTATGTCCGAGCTTAGCTTTAGCAAGCCGTATCTTATGACGTCAGATATTTGCGTGTCATTTTATTTACAAATTGCCCAAGGCAGTGGCTCTGTCAGGTTTTGAGTGATGTGATGTAACTCACAACAGTAGTTTTATGCTTGCTAATGCAGCTGGAAGGCAGCTGAAGCCAGAAGAGGCCCACGAACTTAACATCCAAGCCTGCACACTTGAATCCGCCATGCCCTCAAGAGAATAAAGAGGACAAGAAGAACGTTATACGCAATGAGGTCGGCTCGACAAAAAAACGCAATCGAACTTTTGATACTGACAGCTAACAAGCATCAAATGCAGGTAACGTTTCACTACATCGATGCAAAGGACATTGTGGTTTCCAGTCATGCGCGAAAAATTGCAAGCTCAGTGACCAGATACTAGCGACGCTTTTTCGCAAAGTGAACAAATGCCTGTCTACAATCGTGACGAACACAAGCGTGACGAAAGTGGTACCCGTAACAAAGCGACCGACGGGTCGGGACACCCTGACCTGGTGCCGCGTGTCAACAGTGTGCCGCGCTGTTCCGCGGCCCACAATTTCACCAGCGACAGCGACGGTGACTCGGTGTTTTGGGCATAGTGCCCCGGGAGCCCTGAGTCCCGCCGCGTCCGGGTGGGACGTTTGTTATCGAGGTCGAACCCCCGGTCATGGACGGCGGTGTATGCCGCATAATGGGCAAAGCCGTTTTCGCGCCGTTTCCAGTACGCATCATCGTAGGATTCGTCTTGGTTTCACAGAATTGGAGGAAACCGCGACAATCTATGTTGTCCTGCGTCATTAGCAGGCATCACGTGACATCAGTGAGCACTCACGTGAGCGCCGAGGGACTGTGGAGGCACGCCACGGATCACGCAGCTCAGCCTAGGCGATCGAAACCGATGAACACGACGACAGATCCATTTTTGGACGTGGAGCAGCTGCACCACTCCCAGACAATCGTATACCCTTCAGTGTTCAACGTAGGAGATAGATAACTTCGTCCCCAAGTGCCACGATAACAGAAGCGCCGATAACAGCGTGCGACGATTGTTACAACTGCAATGCTTTCTAGGTGGTGAGGTAACAGCGGGTAACTGAGGTGGCGTTTTCATCACATCTACCTTCGCACAGACACGAATTCTTTACTCGCAACCGGATGTAAACGGACAGCGAGTGTACACGCATTCAAGGACGGATGATACGGTATGACAGGTGTTGCCACGGCCACTGCATTTGACCGAATAACATGTTGCCGCTAGACGACGTTCCTTCCGGCCACTTTGCTACACAAACTCTGCTCATCAGCCACTACCCATGCATGCTTTGAAACCAGCAGTTTATCTGAAGAATGTTTCCGGTGTAACTACCCGGACACGCACCGACACGGACAACCTTGTGGATGCCTTTTGAGGACGGAGAAAACCGGGGACATGTGAATGCCGTGGAGACACGGTTTAACTACAGCGCATAGGATGGCGGCAATATGCAACTCATACAGTATTGCTGAACACTCACAACGGGCAGCGATTTTTCGCCACAAGGTTTCGACTAGTTTGCTTGTATACTTCTGTGCCTTTTGCGTTTCATGTTTACATCGTACGAAAGAGAATGCCAGGCTACCTTCACGACATGAATGTAAACCAAACAGCCTTCACATTTACGAATGGGTGCACACAGGTTATGTTTTTTTACAGCGCCAGAGGCGACCTCACGTATTGATATTTTGGGATAAATTATCATGACCAGCTTGACCCAGACTGAGACGAAAAGGATGCGAAAGCCTTACCTGTAAGGCTTTTCGGGTATGTAGCCACGAACACAGATGCATTTCGAGTTCGCAAGCTTCCATGGTAGGCATTCGTGTAGGGGAAGAGCCTGAAATAATGACACACATCACCTTATGTGAGTGACAAATAGCGCGAAACTGAGACCACGTGTCATGGTCAAGGCAGATGAGGGACCGCGTTCGAGGTACACGTCATACATGTTTGAGGTACACGTCACATGTTTAGCACACAAAAGTCAATGTCTATACTGCGGATGTATATACAATATATTGCACGGCAAAACAACTTCTAAACACCAGGATTACATAATTGTATTGTGAGCGCTACGGCGGTAGGAAATAAGCAATTAAACATGAATTAACCCCTCTACAAGAAATGGCTTCAGAGGATCCCTGCGGTGTTCCCGAAACAGCTTTCAAAGGGTTGCGAGAAGGGTGCCGAAATTTCAACTAGTTGAGTTTAAAATATTTCCAAGCGCGCGGTAAAAATTTGAAGTGTATCATCTGAGCGATTCGTACTATTAGCGCCCACAAATTTGAAGCTTATGACCGCGGCTGTTCATGACGTATGACTTATTTCACAAGTTTACGTCGGTGAAACATCGTGTGAAATTTTGCCCAACAGTAATTTTGTTTTCTCATTTACCTCTTTCCGCATGACATGCATTCCCAGAAGTTGTTTACAGTCCATCTGTCTTACACTTATCAAGCTGACGAGCATTAATATTGTTTTGGTTCTGGTTCTGGTTGTTGTTTGCATTGCCTTCTCCATTGACGTGGCTTGTTTAGTTCTTGATATAGTCAGATGAGCCGACGCCATAATAGCTTCACCTATTTGATCTGACGCGATATCACAGGTCACGCCTTTGGATGTCTAGCAGACCCAGGCTCTCGCAAGAGTTCTTCAATGCCGTTTTCCGCATTCCCGTAACATGCTGGGTTCGTGAGAACAAAGAAGAGTTATGGGAATGTTGAATTGAACCTGGTTTGACCCATCAAAAGCCACTGTTACGTCACATTTATTCTCATACTGTTTGCCAAATGTTTCCGAAGTCGTTTTCTCCACGCTGCAGCGTAATCAGTATTCGAGATCTTAGGGCCTCCGAGGACCTCGTAGGGAAAGGCGAAAAAACATCCGTAAGATGACAGAAACGATCACGATTTCACAAAACTATCACCACCGAAGATTTCGGCCAGCTCAAGTGCACAGTGACCAAAGTCACGGTCATCATTGTATCTGACATGCATTCAACCGTCGGGAATCCCAGACAAAACGGCTACGTCAGTTTGTAAAAACGCCACGTAGAATGATTTAGACAGTTGAAAGGGAAGCCTTCGAGCTTCAGGAAGAACGACAAACCATCCCTGAATTACAGAAGACTCAGACGGGTTATCGCTGCCAATTTCTGACGTTCAAAGCTATGATGTTGGCCACTGGCTACATATGGGCCGCACTTCGGACCCATTGTTCCATACGTACGGGCTGGATTTGTAGGCATACGACTCTCTCTCTCTCTCTCTCTCTCTCTCTCTCTCTCTCTCCTCTCTCTCTCTCTCTCTCTCCTCTCTCTCTCTCTCTCTCCTCTCTCTCTCTCTCTCCTCTCTCCGCTCTCTCTCTCTCTCTCTCTCTCTCTCTCTCTTCTCTCTCTCTC